CTTTTTCATTCTCATGCCCCTACCAGTGAATAAAATCATGTCACAAAAGTTAACGGGCTACTGCAGAATCAGGCAGCTACTTCTAAATCCACAACTAAGATAAAACCATGCGAAGCTAATCATAACCTACCTTTAGATTCCTTGAAGCTGATTGCATTTGAGCTTTTGTTTCTTTAATCTTCTTTTCAAAATCTTTGAGCTTTCCCTCCCGACTATTATCATTCTCTTTGATTGATTTCTCAAGTAATGTAACTTTATTCACACACTCTTCATACAAAAGCTGCTTTTCTTTTGCTGCAAATTGTGCTTCTTGAAGTTCCTGCTCAATCCTTTTTACTAATTCACCAAGCTAGTCACACCAAGAAATCATTATGAACCATGTCATTATATGAACCAGTAAAGGAAGTTGCAACATAAAGCGTGTGGTCAGTATGCCAAGAGAAAGAGAGGACTGGACATAACCTTATGATGCTCATTTTGCTCAGCCCTGCCCTGGAATAATGAAAGGTCATAGGATTTAAGTTCTAACTGTGCCTTAAGGTCCATGAACTTCTTCTGAAGAGGCAGAAGCTCTGTAATCTGCAATTTAAGAAGTTGACAAATATATAACGCGTTTAAATGATTCCAATTCTCAAGGAAATGCAAAAACATCCCCAGGAATACAGTATTTAAGGTATGTAAACAAGAGGGGTCCTAACATCACAAAATTCATCTCATTTAGAGAGAGAATAAGATTCTTATGGTCAACCTTAGCTTCAATTTCGGTCAATCTTCTCTGATGCAAGGAAAGTTTTTGTTCAGTCTCTGCCAGCTCGTGAAGTTGCCTTAACAAATCACCCCCACCCCTGTAACAGAGTAAATGGTTTCTTTAGAAGGCTGATTTAGATGTAGACAAAAGCAATTGAAAACATCTTTTTGAGAAATGTTAGCTTTTAGTTACTCAATGAATCATGCATATTACGAAGAAGACAAGGACTAGTTTGGAGCATTCGCCAGGAAAATTTTAACAACAATAATATTTCTATTCCAATTTGAACTAAGGAGAACAAAACAACAACACTTACTTGCGGCTTCCACCAGTCAAGAGGCCACTAGGCTGAAAGATATCACCTTCAAGAGTGACACTTGGGCTGCGAATTTCCCTGTTAAAAGCAACCTAGAAATCATTCAAGGAGATGCAGATTGTGTTATGCACCCTTCTAAATATATATTTGATTTTCATAGAAGTACAATATTACACAATCAGGCTACATCAAATCAAACATAAGCAAGATGAGTAGCATGTGCACTGTTCAATAATAATAATACATGAACAAAATAGCAAAGTTTGGCCTACCTCCTTTGCAGCATCTACAGTTTTGCAAACAAAGGTTGAACCAAAAACAAATTCCATAGCACTCTGCAATAAATATTGAAATTCAAAAAAAGCACAATATAAACTTCCAAAATCCATTGTTCGTGTCTGCATAACATACCACAGAAGAAAGAAAGAAGCCAACAACAAACTTCAAGCATTAATAATTGTCTCAAGTTAAGTATAGAAAACCGATATCAAAGAACTCTACACTCTATAGTATATGTATTAAAAATAATAGCAGGATTAAGTTTTATATGGGGCTGCTTGATGCATACCTTCAATTCATTATCATAACCAACCAAAGAAAGTGCAAGCTCTGCATTCTCCTTGCCAACCTGAAATTGCAAGGTTTTCAGCGAATAAGTTACACAACTGAGAGAAGAAGGGTGGCGCGGAAGGGGGATAGGTTCTATTGATAGAGAAACTGACCAATTTAGAAGCAGCTTGTTGAACCCTAGGATGAACAGTATGCGGTTGTATTTTGTTCAGAGGTATAATTGTTACTCTTCTCCGAAGGTTGCCATTCTGAAGAAGTTGTTTTCCAGTACTTTCAGTGTCTACAACAACATTAAACAACTTTCCACCAGCAGTAACCTGTGAAATGAGTCAATGTGATAATTGATACATTATCTAACTCATGATATACATTTTCAGATATAAATTCATCCTGACCTCTAAGGCAGTCATCGTGGAACTATCCTTCACTTTGATAAGTTTTGCAACTACACCCTTGACCTTAGACCTATCAAAGTTATTCACGGGATCCCGATAGGTGAACTCAACATTTGATAATTGAGCTGAAAGATTTCGCATTTCATCCCTCAACTTCTGCACCTCCCCTAACTCAGAAGCACGATCCTGGAGTGATATTCATAGAGCTAATGAGACTGATAATTTATGTGCACAGAAAATGAAAATACCTAAATCATGTTTACCTTTTGTAACGCTTCCATCTGGCCCTCTATATATGGAACAGACTTCAGTGCATTTTCAAGATTTTCCAAATCTCGTTGTCTAGCAGTAAGTTCACTCTTTACCGCATCAGCTTCTTCACGCTTTGACATTAGCTGCTTATTTTTCTCTTTTAACTCCCTTTGACAATGGCTTATTTTTGTGTTCAGCTGTTTTAGTTCTGTTTCAGCACTCCCAACAGCTACTTTCGCATCACCCAGTTGATCTTCGAGGCATTTCTCTTCTTTTCCACTGCTCTTGCCAGCTAGTACACCCTAAACATAGTTTATTTTTAAAATATTAGTCGCCTCAGTCATAGTGATTATAACAAATAATTTGTTTTGCATGCACATGGATCATTGACAATATAAAGTAGAAAACCAACATAAAAGATATACATTTACCTGGTAATCCTTTTCATACTCATTCAGTGTCTGAGAAAGTTCCTCTGCTCTCCTTTTCAAATCAGCTGCTCCTTCTTCAGCCTTTCTTATAGCGAAGTCCGTCTCTTTTACAGACTGCTTCATGTCTTCAATATTGTTAACAATCTGCCAACATCAAGGATGTGATAATGCAATCGTTAAACTAAGGAACATAAAGAATAACAAAAGAACAAACTTGAAAGCGCCTGACAGCATTAGAAGAATCTAGTGAGTCATAGACAACAACATTTACCTTTTCAGCATTTTCATTTTCAATACCAAGATTATCCTCTTTATTACTCAGCACAGACACTTCCCTCACAAGATCTTGGGAAAGTGCATCTACCTTGTCAGACAAAGTTTTTACTTCCGCACCCATTCTAGCCTCCTTTTCAGCAGTCAACTTCGACACTTGTGTCTCCATTTCCTGTATTTCTCCCTTCATCTTTCTCATATCATCATCAACCTCAGAAATCCTGGCCTTAACTTGTTCCAACTCAGATGCTGCACCGTCTCTAATTCTTTCCGCTTGAACATATTCAAGCGCAATGCAAAACCTTTTCAGGTGATCCAAGTCAGCGTTTCCATTAGCCCATTGCATATATTGCGTCCTTTCTCTCCTCAACTTGTCCAAGGCAGGCAGTATCTCCTGGTCAAGAAGCTTATTGATCTCATCAACTTTACTCTGCTTCTTCTCAAGTGTCTTCAAAGCGGCCTCTTTCTTGGTCTCATACATTCTCGTCCCAGCAGCCTCTTCAAGCATAGACAGAATCTCAGGTGGTTTCATATTCAAAACCTTGGTAATGCGCCCTTGCATTATCAGAAAATGCGGGTTGTTAACATTGAGCTGCACAGAATGAAAAAGGTTCTGGACCTGACTAGGCTGTGCAAGTTTCCCATTGATCAAATACTTGTTCCTTCCACCAACCACAATCTGTAAAGCAAACAAATAGCTTATCATCAACCACTTAGCACTCGCTTCGCTTGCACCCAACAACCAAAAGTTTCAGATGCAATTCGATAATTTAGTCCATGGAAATTATTAGATCTCCACCAAATTAACACCAAAATAAAGATATTTTAAGAAATTAAAAAAAAAATTGAAATAAAAAAGGAACAGCAATTCTCATCACACACTTAACAATTACTTCATTTCTACCCAAAATTCAAAATTTTGGAAAGAATTCCACGATTCAATTAAATGGGACTTACAAACAATCCGACATTTAGTCACTAAATTGAACTTAATTAAGGCAATCAAAAGAAAATCGTACGCCAAAATCCAGCAAAATTCAAGAATTAGTAAGCAAAATTGAACAGTAAAACGAGACCCAATTGTGAAAACCCGAAATACCTGACGGGTGACGGTGATTTCAGAATGGGCCTCGTATCCGAGGGGACTACGGGCGCGGTCAGAATTGTCGAAGACGATGGAGACGGTGGCCTTGGTGATTCCGGCCTGGCCCTGCTTGTAGACTAGCTCCTGGAGGTTGGCGGCGCGAACCTGCTGCAAATTGGTAATGCCCAAGACGAAGCAGATGGAGTCGAGGATGTTGGACTTGCCCGACCCGTTCAGACCCGTTATGGCGTTGAAAAACGGGTCGAACCCGGGCACCACCGTCCTCGTCGCGTAGGACTTGAAGCCCTCCAGGCATACCTCCTTGATGTACATTTTCTGCCGATTTCAACGGAAGGCGTACGGACAGCGAGAGACTTGAAAAGCTTTCTCTGCTTCTGCTTCTCTTTCCTCTCCGAAAGTCGAAAGTTTTCGAATTTTCAATTTTATCACGCGGTACGTGCAAGGCGGGAACTTGTTCTCTCGATTGAAGAATGGAACGACGTCGTTTTGGAATTTTATTGGACCGGTTTGTGAAGAAGTCAGGATTGGGCCCTAAACCACAAGAAAAATACCGTCCGAACCATGCAAACTACGGATTTAGAGATCGAGTTTTTATCCGTTGAGCGACAGCCTTTTCATTTGGCACCGTCTAACCATGAAGGCTGACTTTTGTCCGTCGAGTTTTTATCCGTTGCTCATGAGCGACGGACAAAAGTCAATTTTTATGATTAGAATTTTAGTCGCCCCTTCATTTGGCACTGTCTAATCATTGAGGCCGACTTTTGTCCCTGCTCGACCAGTGAATCTTGCAGTGAAGCTCCCTTCTACCCTTGCACTCAAGGGACAATCGCCGAACCAAATCAGAATTAGATTGGTTCAAGTATGTCTAATCCAAGTTTCTCCACCTTCAAAAGTAAGAAGTCTTCTCAACTATTGTTCAACGTAACGACGATGCATTTGTATTAATAATTCAAAAGAACATAAAACGTTTCGATATGTTGGTATTAACAATTCTCACCAATTTGTTACAACGATATAAAAATTCACCTTTGTTCTTTTCTTACAACAACTGAATTCTTCGTGCATGTAAATGTCTTGGACATGAAAAATTACCAATCCTCAAAAATGCAATTTTGGTCTGTCTTCCTCTTCCTTCTCTGTCAATTCCCTATATTGATACCACTCTGCACCAGACTTACCCACGGGCAATGGGGACCGAACAAATATTTCGACTGGCTTGGGGACGTGGACAACCAAGTGCACTTCTCCGGCAGCTCCCTTGGCACTGGTATCAGAACTTGTCAATACTCGGCTTACAGGTTCAACAGTAATCCATCCTAACCCTGATATAGCCACATCACAAGCCGGCCTGCGCAAATATAGGATAATTGTAATGGAATTCACCATTTACAGAGGACCAAAATCAAATAAGAAAACGTTGAAAGGGGTAAAGTTAACAATCACATTATGAATAACGCACCTTTCTACATCTTCAACTTTTATTTGCAACTGGCGCTCAGTTTCGAGCCCTCTCCATTCATCTGCTCTTTGTTTTCCAGTTGGAGGTGTTAATAGAACTCCAACTTCTTTCTGCAACATGTTAACAAAAATCCCACTACATTCATATTGTATTTATGTAAGAGAAATATGCATGTTGCACCGCCTAGACAGTAGGAAGGAGAAATGATCACATTGTACCATCTCAAAAGTATATTTTTTAGAATCTTTTCTAATATAGTTACAAAGACTTACCTGGTAAAACTCATCTGCCGTATCAGTAGGTACCATATGAATCTGAAGACTCTTTGGCCCGTAAAACGTCAATCGTGTTTCAGGGAGAGCCTGAAATTATAAAAAATAATGGTTCAGGAAAAGACCATTCATAATCAGCACGGTTAATCCCGGAACATACCCAATATATATGAAACTACAACAAGATCAAGACCTTCAAGATATCTACTCTGACAAGGCCTCCCCAGAATATTGAATAGCCATTCAAACCATTGGAATTGTCCTTCTCCCCTGTTCCATTTCCAGAGGAAACCTGAGACTTCTGGAAAGGAATAACACCAAAAGTTACCAACTAGAAGATAACAATGGAAAAACTACGAACAGAACACAGATGGAGGGAAAGAAGGAACTCTGAACTGAATAAACATACCGGAAAAGATTGACCCCTAAGCCGACTTTGAGGAGCAAGGGCAGGCAGATCATTTGAATGAACCACAGCTGCTTGCCTATGGTGGAGATGAACTCCTGGAGTGTCGTATAATTTCTGCATGTCACAGAGGGTTACTCTGCTAAACTTGGAATGCCATTGATAAAATAAGGGCACCACACCATACCTCTCCTCCTAGGAAAGCATTAATTTGAATTGGACCCAAGGTAGTTCCCGGAACTGCAGATTGTATTGGTTTGTATTTTTGCGCCGATGCAGCAACTGGATCCTTGTCTGCCATCATTTCTGGTGTCACAAAAAAGATAATAAGTCAAGAAAAGGGAAGAAAACTCATTTAGTAAATGAAAACTGATCAATTATATTGCTGAAATAGAAATCTACATGTCTACCAAAGGCAACAAAACACAAAATGAATGTCATTAACTTACTCAGAAAAGCACTGATGAACGCTGATTTCCCAACATTTGCTGAGCCCTAAATCAAAATGGTAATGTAAGTTAATAACTACTTATGTACCGTGAATAACGAAAATTGCAGAAGAATAAAAGACTTGTCCTACTTCAAACTGAGTATGCACCAATCAATCGGTAAGAAAAAAGAATGACTAGTCTTATGTTTTTTCTCTTGTTAAATGCATTATATAGGTGTCAAAATGTGTTAGAATCAGTTGACAAAAGCACATACAGGGTATATGCATTAAATAAACTTCCAGTTAAGAGACTAACCATAACATAAACGTCGCGCCCCTGCACCAGACAAGAGCCAAAGAATTCAGGTTTAGTAAAATATGAAATGATATACAAGTATGTTTTGCTTAACAGCAATAAAATAGCTTCAGTCAGGTAACAAGGTCAACACATGCACAAAAACACAAGCATAAATAGAAAAGTACAAAACCTTCTTCTCCTTTTGAATCTCTGATGCAACTCCGGCTACTCCAACCAAAGATTTCGCACTCATCAGATGAACACTTAAAACACTGCAATGAATAGCACAGTGTTAGACGCATGATCCAAGCTTTCAGGTTTAGATCATAAATCAACCACGTCCTAAATTAAACACAGTCTCAAATGACTCAAACTCAATCAATCGAGCCCTAATCCCAACTACATGCACACGAATTCCTTTTCCATCGAATGTTCCAGGAAACTCTTTTTAGATTGACTGTATTAATAAAAAGTCAAAGCCAGGAAACAACTCTTACTTAAGCTTCTTCTTTGCAGTGGCCTCTATAACCCAATCACCAATACAATTGAAATCAGTTCCTTTTGGGAGTAAGTCAACCTGACATTCCAAACTGATTAGAAAAGTCGCTTACATCAAATAAGATGCAAAAGGCAGTTTAATACCTTAGTAACCACTAATATGATAGGATTTGCACCGGCCAAATCACGCACACGAGCTAAAAAGCTACCATTGAAATCCACAATATCAACCTATAAGCAAGCAACCAAATTAAAATTCTTCAAGGCAACTCAATCACTCAATTCATCGCAATGCAAACATTAAAAAGTAGATTACCAATTTAACTATCAACGCTTTCTCGTGGCGCAAGTGGGACAACTTCTCCCGAAGCTCTTCAGCCATGATGAACTGTTTCCCGCCAGAATATCCCCCATTTCCACCAACAGCAGTTATCATGTGCCCATGAGAAAGAAGCTTGCACCTTCCACATATAACGCTTCTAAGCTGGTGGTGCTTCTTCTTCTGCACATTCAAATTTTGTAACAAAAAGCACAAATATTTTACATCCATGGAGAATCAACAAAAGCACTTTGGACTCAAAAGTGCTTTTCTTGCTTAAAAAATCAGACATTCCAAACATATACAGAACGAAAAGAGAACCCAAATACCCAATTATCCAAAAGGAACAAAATTAAAGATAAAATCACATAATCCATACCAATGCGTACGTCTCAGGGTCCGAATAACCCGGAGCATCCGGCTCCGAAGTCTGCAACGGAGCTCCGCATCCATAACAGCAAGGGACGGTCGTCGTAACCTTGGGCTTCTCCTTCTTCTTCTTCTTTTTCTCCTTGAGCAACACCTTCGCAGCTTCAACTGAACGGTGCCGCTCCAAAAACCGATCGCCGGGGGTCGGCGCGGCGGCTCCGGTGCCGGCGGGTTCGGGCGGAGAATTCGGGTACTGGGTCTCGGAAACGGATGATTTCCGGTGGGTATTTTGCCGGTGAGAATATGTGCAGAGTATGAGAGTGGGTTTCGAGTGAAGAGTGAGAATTTTGGTAGTGGGGATTGTGAGGGTGTAGGGGAGAGTGAAAGGACAGAGGAAGGATGAGAGGGTTTTAGGCGCCATTGATGATGCTTAATGGGTTTTTGGAGCTCGATGATATTGCGCTTGGTGTAGGTGAGAGTTTAGTGATCGTGGACCGTTGAGATTGCGGGTGAAAGGAATCGACACCGTTCGTTTTTCTAGTTTACGGTTGTTGGTCGTTAAGTCAGGAGAAATAGTAAGTTTACCAAGATTATGCTGTCAAATTAATAATTCAACTTAATCTTTAGTAATTTTTTATGTTAAAAATTGTCGTCGATGAAATTTGAACTTCTAAAATGTGTGCTTAATTATTTTCAAAGGACAAAGAGTAAGCTTACTATAGATTACGCGGTCAAATTAATATTTTGTTTCCTTCATTGTGGTTTGCTGCTGAGTCTACTACAAACAAATTTTGTTCTTATTTCGCCGTGGTACTTTTTTTCAAAAAATGCGAAAATTTGTAGTTGTTAATCTAATTAATCACACGATAGACTAAACTGTTTCATTATTTAGTGTTTTAATATAAAAGATTAGGATAAATATTACTCAATACAAACGGAGTACGAGTTAATTAATACTAATCAAACATTAAAACAGAGAGTAATCTTGGTTAACTACCAATGCTAGACCACAAACAACTAAAAAAAAATGTTACAAAACAAACAAAGATTAATGCCTAATGCAAATATCTAAGAAACATTAATTAATTTAAACCCCAAGTCAACCAGAAATTCCCGTAAGAGAAATCCCCGTAAGAGGATCCGGAGAAGATTGGGTAGGGTACACCACATTATCATACAGTAGTCCAGCAACTGCCCCACCAATCAGAGGCCCCACCCAGTAAACCGCCTGGTTCCTGAAACTGCCGGCGACGACTGCCGACCCGAATGCACAAGCCGGGTTCATGGACCCACCGGAGAATGGTCCAGTTACTAAAACATTAGCTCCTGCCATGAACCCAACTGCCAGGGGTCCAATGCCCCCAAGAGCACCATTCCTTGGGTCACCGGCTGCATAAACACTGTACACCAGCCCAAATGTCAGCACGCCCTCCAAAACCGACGCCCCGAAACCCGTCATCTCTTCCGTGATTCCGTACGTCGGAACATGCTGCGCAATCCAAAGAAAAAGTTTGTCAGATTTTCGACGTGAGATTTTGCATTATTAAAATAAAGAAAAACTAACGAAAATAGTTCGAAAATTTTGAGTTGTAATCAAAAAGACAAAAAGGTATTGTAAGTGAATAGCATCAGAGTAACTTTTTAGGATAAAAATGTAGTTTTCGTTAAAGTAAACAGTACCAGAAGTGTTTCATTAAAACTTCTTTAAAATAAAGTATGGTGCGGAATTAGGATTAGTATCAGTTCAGGTTAAAATATTTTATAAAAAATACGATATTCATTGAAAATACGTATGTGGAGAAAAGGGTTTTTACCTGTCCAACAATAGTGACTCTCAAGAGAAGGCAAGCCATGACAGAGGCCACCATCTGAGAAATCCAGTAGCAGATGGCATTGGGGACGCTAATGTGTCCTCCGACCGCCATGCCGAAGGTGACAGCCGGGTTGATGTGGCCGCCGGAGATGTTGGCTGCAATGTACACTGCCGAGGACAATGCGAAGGCGTTGGCGACGGCAACCATCACCAGACTAGCTGGGTCTGATGCTGCATCCGGCATCAACTTCCCTGCCACATTACAACAAAACCAACGAATTAAAGTGACTCCAATTATAAATGTTGGGAAATTATGTGACATCTAATTTCTGTAACTGATTATTTCATGCTTCTGTTAATGCTTCTCAAACCCAACAAACACAAGAAATTAAATTTCGTTTTCAAAACTGACATTACGCTTAAACTAGAACAAAAACATAAATTTAATTAACGATTTTGTTCCTTTCTCACATGTCGCGTGAGATGAGTGAGAAAGGAACGTACACATTTCAGGATAGGAAAGTATTTCCGCTAACACGCAAAGTGAAAACTGATGAAAGAAAGACTCACTTGACGACATCATGGAGCCAACAACAGCGAACACAAAGAAGAAGGTTGATATGAACTCGGCAACATAAGATCGGAGGGCGTTGGGAGTGATTGCTTGTTGAAATCGAGCGGTCAATGCAATCCTAGCCATTGATCCAAATAACATGAAAAAATCAAACCACAACGTTGAAGACCGAATGAATCTCAAGGTAATTTTAGAGGAGAGTTTTGGTGTAAATGAGAGTGAAAATGTACAAACAGCAGTGAAATCGAGCAGTTAATGCAACATTTGTTCTGCGCAGGAGTTACTTATAGATTTGAGCAAGTTAAAAACGGCAACGTTTTGGTGAAGGGCTGTGAAGGTTGACAGGGTTCGAGAAATGGTTAACCGCCAAGCCACGCGGCCGTGCACACGTTGGCATGATTGGGAGGACATGGGTGATTGGCGGTTTATAATTATACCAGTCTATGAATTTTTCTTTATTAATGTAGTTCGGGTGGAGACGATGGGGTTGGTCTATGAATTTTTCTTCTTTTTGCTACATTTCGCTTAAAGGTTTGAGGGAATATAGTGCAGCAATTTGTTCCTAAGGGCCAACTTGATTCTCTTCCCTAGTGATCCTAGATAAGGGAACCCAAGGAGAGTCGTCGACTCCAACTACTGTTCATGTACGATCCATCCTACCTCCTTTATGTTCTTAACAACCCATCTTTGTCTTAATAGAGCCTTTTCAGTGGCATGTTTTGATCATGTTCCCCAATTGCAAGAGTAGAACTCTACCAACTGAGCTATATCCCCTCAAGCCAAGTGGAGCATGCATGATGGAGTCGTGCATTTTCTATTAATTCTTTTCTTTGGCGCAGCTGGGCCATCATGAAAATCTTATAATTATGTAGACAGAAGTTTGTGGAGTGGGTTAATGGGAGCCGTAGAATTTAAAAAGAGTAATCAGTTGGATGCTCGGTCCGTCAACTATAACTGTGAGATCCGAAGAGAATCTTGATTTAATCTCATGATAAAAGTTCGTTGTATTGTCCAGTCATAAAAAAAATGACAAAGAACCCAAATATATCAAGGAAATTAAAAACTTTAATCTTATTGCACTTTCACTTTCAACTTGATCAAGAATATTTACAAAAACAAAACATAAAAATTTAAAATAAAAAATAAAAAACCAAAATAACGCTCTAAATCTAACTCAAGATCTTAAAATTTGAGGCAGCAAATAATCTTCAAGAACTCCAAACAATCAGCAAACGACGCATGTCTCTTTGTTTCAGCCCTACATATTACTTCCCTCCTCATGTCCTGCTCCAGATCATCTTCTTTGTACATAAAATCCCCCACGTAGTCTTCACCATAAAGGACATCTTCCGTCCCAGTCTCCGCCGCTGCGCCGCCGGATTCTGTAGTAGCAGCAAGGGTAGTCAATGGCAACGTAGAAAGTTCAGAACAAGGTGGTGGGTTCTCCGTCGCGGCCTTTTGCTCGGCGTACCCACAACCACCGTGAGAAAATTCTCTGGCCATGTATGACACGAAAAACGTAGGTTCCTGTGGGGATTTAAATTACCAAAGAGTCCAGATATATAGTTCTTTTTTTCTTCCTAAACCGGTTAGAACTTGGCTACTAAAATGAATTTAGTTCTTATATGTTTATACTTGTTATTTGGCAATTGCCAGCTAAAAGAGAGATTAATCTAACGCGGCAAATTAAACACACTTAATTAGAATTAATTAATACGTGATTATCCACTTTGTTATGAATCATATGGCATGTTCTTGTTTAGTAGAGATTTTGATGCCAAATTACCATTAGAGATAATAATCCAAAAAATATGACCTAATTATTTTGTGGAAGAAGGAGAAACACGTGGAACGTTGCCAATTTAATTAGGGTAATGCTATCCATACACTAATTTTTATTTCTCATACATCTCTCAAATTTCGGTCATCAGATCAATGATAAATTGTAAAAAAATAACAAATGTAGGTGAAAGATAAAAATAGATGTGAATAGCATTATCCTTTAATTATTGCCGAAATAAAAGCAAGAATCAATAATAATTATTTATTCAAAGAAATCAATCACATAATTTAAGGAAAATTAGCGATTGGGTTGAAACCCTCTTAATTTTTTAAAACGTATCAATTTGCTTTCATGGTCAATTTTCCCATCAAATCTGGGGTTAATGTTTGTTCATCCAAGAGGTTAATGCGCTGATCTCTTCTTCGAGCTTGCTCCGCTCAAGACAAACTAGTACAATGGGAACAACTACAGCAATATCTCATGATTATCCCTACATCATTACATCCCATTTAGGATTAGGAATAAGCGTAATCGAACCTGTTTTTTACGTATCTCTAGTTATTTGGGATGAAACCTTATTCACCCTACCTCTTTGGGCTTCTATTGAACTCAAAAATCAGTTTGATTGTCCATCTTTTTGATATAATATATATAAAGCATCCTCCGGAACAACAACGATGATATCTCAAATTAATCATGCACGAATACATGTTTTAAGTGCAATGCATAATTGATTTGACATACAATTGCGTCCCCGTTGCATAAAAGTCCTTCGCATGACCCTCACATCATTTGAAAAAATTGAATTGAAAGGAAATAAAAGAGAAAGCCTTTCATCGCCTGCATATTGAAGCCATAAACTTTATAAATTAACAATCTCTCAAATGGAAAAGAATAAGACTCCATATATAGACTGAGGTTTATATAGATTAATATTAAGCAACTGTATAGACAACCTCCCGTGTATGCGGCGGCAGCTCACACACATAAAACCCTAGTGAAATGATGCTTTGCGTAAATCCTACAATGCCTGCATCTCCATATCTGTGTGGCCATTGTTGTTGGTAGAGGATGGTGAAGCGGAGTCCTGGTTGTCGTCAGCAGACTTCATCTGTTGAACTTGGGGTGGGTTGACGACGGTCATTGGCATCACAGCATTGTCCGAGAGGCGTCCCTTCATCTCCCTGTGCTCTTGGCACAAGGCGCACCAGTGCAAGCAGCAGTGTGTCAAGCATGGGTCACACGGTGAGTTCTGCAGTCAACAACGCAATTAAGCATTCAGCATTCAGCGGCTTCAGCAGCATACAGATAACAGTAAATTACCTGTAGATGATACTTCTTCTGCAAGGATTGCCGGACAAGACCTGTATATACCTGTTTGGACCCAAATTTACGCTATCGGCCTGAGCAATCGAGACCGTAGAATGAGTAAAATTCTGAGCCATTGGATTGGAAGAAGATTGAGATAATTGATTAATAATTTGTCTAGATAATATTATGATTTTAATAATCACAATATTATCTGGGGAATTATTAAGAAAATTATTTCTAAAAATGTGGAGATAATTGAGGAGTCCAAAAGATTAAATGCTACCGGATTAGAAGATCAAAGGTGGCTTCAATGTCGTGCGGCTATGCATTTTCAAAAAAGGTGTTTTGGATTTGTGCATGTGGTTGGAAGAAAAGGATGTGGCATGCATGGTTGCACGGGCAAATAGGTGGTGATAGGCTTTGGCCTATCATGAGATAAGGAAATGGCCACGTGGAATGCATCCAGAGGATAAGGAAGGAAAAACATGGGCTTTTTGAAAAATGGTGATAATACCGAAGCAAATTTAGGAGATGATGGCTTTCAGTCAGTTTGAATTGAAATCAAATTCTACTAGTGAAGCCGCACCATGCATTTGCTTCTATAAATACAAGGCTGCGAACACCATTCAGAGGACCTCCAATTCAACACACAACTGCCCTGCGCAAAACCTCTCAAACATCTTGAGATTTTTTTATTTTCTTTTTCCGCCGACACATCTTCAGTTTGGATAAACAGCACTGTGAAGGCAACCGGCGAACATCTTCAGTTTGGATAAACAGCACTGTTGCCGTAGAATCAGCCGTTCTCGAAGCACCTTCAGTTTGGATAAACAGCACTGCGTCGAGGCCGATTGATTATCTATCCAAGTCTCGGTCGAGAAGGATTTTCAAATCCTTATTGGCAGAGGTCATCTCATTAGCCTTTTCGGCGAAGTGAGGTGTTACCAGGTTACGACATTCGGCACCTTGAGAGCCGAATTTGATATTGAACTTCGTAGAACTAGCAGCCTTGTCTTCAGGCTCGAGAATCCAAAGGCCGAGATTTGTTCCTTCCTCGGCCGCAGTCGCAAGATAAAGAAGTCAACAACGCGCTCAACGCAATATCAACAAATTTTACTCCTCGGCCGAGCTCGGCCGACGAGTTGGCACGCCCCGCATTCAACCAAAGGACGTAGTTAGCTCATTAGTTACTCGGCCTGCGCGCCACGTAGGTTTTGTAATTTTTGTAGTCAACATTTTGGCACGCCCGGTGGGACCCAGTGCTAAAACTACGAAGTTCATATGATATATCAAGATTCCAATCTGGCTCAACGTAGCCGATTGTACGAGCGCCTAGAGGAATTGAAAAAACACAATGAAGAACGAAAGAGATCTTTGGAAGTGGAAAAAGTTCTTCGTGGCCATAAAGAGTTGCAAAAGTCATTCGCTTACATGTTGAGAATAAAAGCTCATGTTACCCTGCAAGAGCAATGGGTAAATGAAGACAGGGCTCGATTTAATGCCTGGCTAGATGGAAAATATTTTCCTTACGTTTTCGACTACAAATCAATTCCATTTGAGGAATGGTTGGTTGAAAAGACTGGGGGGCAATTTTCCGCTTCGGCCGTAATCAGACATCGGCCTAAGAAAATTGTTAATTTGGTCGAGGAACAAAGGCCACCTATCTTTTCGGCCGAGACTAAAAGTGTGGTAGGCCTAGAAGAAAATGTTCAAGTTTCTGAGCCAAAAATTGACTCAGAAAATGATTCTTTAGAGGAGTGTTCCAATGACGACCAATACCGATACACGACTTCAGACCATAAAACCACATCAATTGATATGGTAATTGGAGACATGGTTTTAGATGCCGAAACTACGCCAATCAATATGATTATTGGTGATAAAGCCGATAGGGAGAAATCCCATTCGGCTAAGTTGTTCGAGTTGAAAGCCGAAATTGGCGAAATTGTTATGCCTGGGGAGCATAATAATTGTCCAACACATTTGGCGGCCGATGGTAAAAAATATTTCACCAAGTCAAAAATATTTGGAGAAAATTCTTTATTCGGCCTAGAGCAAAATCAATTTGAGAATTTTGATATTAAAAGATCTCAGCTTGGAATAAAACATCGTTGGCCTCCTCCTGATTATGGTTCGGCCACTTTTATTTCCATTTGCTAAATTATTTTCTTAACCATTCGGCCTCTCGGCCAATACTTAAGAAAATCAGGGGGGCAACAGGCATTAAGCCCTTGTAGAAAGCTAACCAATGACCACCATGTTTATTAGACACATAATAAGTGGTATGCTCGGCAAATGTCCTTGGTTTTAAAAAATATATATATATATTTTTGCAGAAGGCCACCTGTGCTAAGTGGTAGGCCTTCACGTGGTTGGATATTTCCAAAAAAAAAAAAAAAAAAAAAAAAAAAAAAAAAAATGAGACAACTCTCGGCTGTCTAAGCCGAGGCCAATAAAATCAAGAAGATGCTGATCATTCGGCCTTTCGGCCAATACTTTAAATGGGGATCGGTCGAAGAACTTCCAAAATGACTTCGGCCTGCTTCCACCAAGCCTTGGTCGAGAAATATATATATATATATATATATATATATATATATATATATATATATAAGGTGATAGAAATATGCATGCCCGACAACATCATTCCAAGGCCAATGGGCCAAGTTTTGATTTTGTTTTTTGTGGTTTTGGATTCATATATATGTGATGATGGTCTTCGGCCACTTTAAGACCTCGGCCGACAATGAAGTTCCTCGGCCACGAAACGTATCTAGCTAATGTTCCTCGACCACTTTTATTAATTATATATAATTAGTTATGTATATATAGGCAGGCCGAGCTCCAGGAATGGTTTTCATCGTCTTCGACCCTAGTTCTACTCGGTCTCGGCCCCACTTTATCCTCGACCCACTTTACAAAACTATATGGCCGAATATATATATAAAAAAAAATATATATATATATATATATATATGTTTTGGCCGAATGGTTTGTGTTCGCAGTTCCAAGACACGAATAGTGAGATGCTCATTCGGTTAATAAAAGGAGGCCGTTGAGACTGGCATGGAGCCCATTGGTGGAAAACATATGAATTTCCTCAAAGCCGAGTGATGGTGGTTTTGATGATGTGACTTTAACCCAATGCTTCTTGAACTCGGCTCATTTCTCTCGGCCCCATATGGTTTAGCCACTTTTACAAGTCACTAACATATATATACACGAACACACATGCCGAGCTCGGCGAGATGATGCTCGGCACAGGTTTGTTTTATGTGTGTGTGTGTTTGTGTGTATGTGTGTGTCTATATATATGTATATATATATATATATATATATATGCTAAAGGCATGGCAGACAAATCATATCAGGCAATCAACTACCCCTATATATATATATATATATATATATATATATATATATATAAATTCCGAGTTAGATGAGAAGCGGTGGCCCATTTGGTGAAACATAATGAATTTCCGTAAGGCCGAATGATGGTTATTCGGTGGTGGTTTTGATAATATTACATGGGTGTTATTGCCAAAAAGCAAAGTTTCTTTTT